GCATCGTACACGTTGTTGTAGGCATACTCACTGAATTGACCAAGACCCGTGCAGTTGGTCAATACCGTGCTCGTAATCGTCGTGGTTTTACTGCGATCGCACTGGTTGGTGGTCGCGTATACCGTACGGGGCACCGAGCAGTTACCGTCGGCGACAAGCAGCGGACCAGTCACGAACAGGTTGGGTCCTGTCCACTGACAGCGACGACGGCAATGACAACGAGGAAGCATGCGATAAACATCTCGCTTGAGTGTGACGCTCTCCAGCGATCGGTAAATGTGTATGTTGTATTACGCTCTCGAGCGTCCAGAGGAGCTGTACGGATGATGGGAAAAAAATCCATTGCTTGTATCCAATCACAACCCCCCGCAGATTGCATCCAAGCTGATTGCAAGGACGCCAGTGCGAACGACCCCCCGCAAACACGCAAACTGTCAATGTGTCAGTAAGCTCTCCAAACCAAATCCAGCACCAACAGCTCGTCGTTTCCCAAGACCCTCTCAACTAGAATACTGTGGTAGAGTTTACGATAAGCCGACAAAGATTTTAGCGTAGAGACTACCGTATTGCCTTTTTGAGGGTCGCTTTCACTACGGCCACACGTCTGTCGATAACACTGTACTAGTGGAAGATGCAGCGACGCTTGCTGCGAGCGGAAGGAGCTGTCCCAGGTGCCAAAAGCCACCGGTCCACCAGCATTGCTAAATCCGAGTAGGTCTACTTTGCTTGGTAGCCAAACAACGACGCAGTTTTTTCTTCACAGCAGTCACCCTCTGGGTACGGCACTACAGCTACTATTCGATGCACATGGCTTAGTAGTCACGACTAAGTACTTATTCATATTTCCAACCCCTCGCAAACAGTTCCATTACCGATCAAGCTCCGTCGAGGGAGCAACAGCACATTGCATTGCCCGCTCTTGTGCAAGTATGCTCCTCGCCGCCTTCCTTCTCGTTGTTGTCGCTGCTGTGAGTGGCGATCTCTCGTTCTGCTGGTACGCAACGTACCCAAATGGCCAAATTGTCGTCGCCGACGGCAACTGCACACTGGCCGGAACGGTGTGCGCGACCACCAACCAGTGCGATCGCAGCAGCCCCACGACGTTTACGAGCACGGTATTGACCAACTGCACGGGTCTCGGTCGATTGAAGAATTATGCCCACAGTAGCTTGTATCTATTACAGGTGGTCGCACTGGATCTCTCATCGTCTTGTCGACTAGGACGATCAAAGACGTACCGAGATTGTACGAGTTCTCTTGCAATGTTCGTTGTCAATGTTGTCGCTAGGATTTTTGACAATGTGACCACCATCATCGACCTGTACACGACGTCGGTGTCGCACTGGCCCTCGGTCTCAACCATGTACGTCGCTCGATGTACAGCTCGGGATTTTGGCAAGTGACTACGGCCTTTGTAAATGATCCCGTCAATTTTTCCCTCGGCGTCGGTTGGCCGCGACGCCTCGAACACATGTATCGCATCTCGTTAGCGCTGGCATTTGACGATCGAGTACTAGGTCGTTTGTCAACAACCAGCTGCGCCATCTGCCACCACATCTCCCAGATTGACAACACTGTGTGGGAGAGTCCACTTCGTTTGGACTCAAGGAACGTAGTGTGCTTCGCGACAACAACCTCACCGATACAAGCTCGATCGGCGCGACGCTCACTACTTTGTACGACCCTTGATGCATGCCATTATGTTGGCATAAAAGGTTGTAGGGACATTTCCAGCAACACACTGCGGAGAATGACTAACAACGACTTTGGCGCGCTCAAAGCCCTGTACGAGCTCTCGATATCTCTTGGATTCAATGATATATGTCTTTATCAACAGGTCTTTCAGCAACAACTGGGATCTGACCACCATTGCCAACGTTTCGTTTGCCAAAATTGCATTCTTGTACGTCGAAAATTGCGCGTGGATACAATCACCCAGCGTAGAAATATGACCAACTGCTGGCATCGCTCCAACATGACGCTGGACGCGACCTCGTACGAGGCGCTCAACGCGCTCCGTCCGTGGAACGACAGCTCGGCCATCGATGCGCCAACCGGCTACAGTATCAACTACCCAATCGCTACGGACGCCATCGCGTGCAACGACGTCGGTGGGTCGATTCAAAAGCTATGGGAAAGCACGTCCACCATCTCCGTCGCCGTATGTGTAACTGGTACAAGGACGCATCCTGCCACCTTGAAATCTGATGGCATCTCTCTAGCGACGGCAGCAACGACGACATCCGACAACTACTGTACGTATCATTTCCTGTCGACAAGTAGCAAGCGCGAGGTGGATGCTGTACTAGATGCAAGCCTCGTGATGGGCGTCACGTGTGGCACCGCTTTTGTTGCGGCTGCGATCATCTTCTTTTACCTCGTACGACGATCGAACGAGTCTCCGGACGATGCGATCGATCAGTATCGGATAGCTATAGAGTGAGTGGCAGCTTTGAAATGAATTATCGACCTACAAGCATAATTTTGGGCGTTTCAACGTATATGTAAAGAGTGGAAATAGAGTTTTTTGGGGGAGCAGGCATAGCCAAACCTCGACACCGTTTCGATTTGGCTTTGGCTTGCGAAGGTCTCGACCCGCCTCGCCACCACCCATAGCAGGCGAGGTGGTCATCAACCTCCTTTGCCCTTTTTCCCGGCAACAAGCGCGACTCTTCAAAATCACTAGGTGAAGTGTGAAGTGTCGCTTGTCTCTCACAGCCGCGGGTAAGGACGGCAGAAGATGCGAGGTGGGGTCATTTAGACCTCAGCCCGAGGCGTTGTTGTCTCTGTCAGGTGATAAGAGACGAGTGACGTCGCTCATCGGCGAGCTCGGGAGCGTCGTCGGCAAGGTCACATGAGGACTGCCTCGTGCTCTGCTACCTTGGCAGTCATTCGCGCTGGTACGGTAAATGCAGAAGTTAGTCGTTTACCTCTCCCTAGTCTACAAGCGACTATACTACGATGACTAGTCAAGGACGCGAGTGCGACTGGGTTGCTTGATGCGCATCAAACGCAGCGAACCGCTTCGAACAAATCCCGTATCCGGATGCATCCGGATAGTGCAAGATACGCTCGCTGTGATTGGCCATTTTGACTTTGCCGATTTGCGCAATTGGACGCAGCATGGCTCCGAAGCCACCCAAACCCGTCGGCGATGTCGTCCGCAAGACGCTCAACCTGCCCAAGACCGAGTTCCCGATGCGGGCGAACGCGACCGTGCGCGAGCCGCAGCTGCACGCGCGCTGCGTGACGCAGCTCTACGCTGCCCAGGCGGCCGAGCGACCGGACGCGCCGACGTTCCTGTTGCACGACGGGCCACCGTTTGCAAATGGCTCGCTGCACACGGGCCATTTCCTCAACCGCGTACTCAAGGACATGCTCAACCGGTACAAGCTCCAGCGCGGCTATAAGATCGAGTACATTCCTGGCTGGGACTGCCACGGCCTCCCGATTGAGATCAAGGCGCTCGAGCGGCTCAAGGACACCAACCGCGACCAGGTGCATAAAGAATCGGCTCAAAGGGCCATGGCGTATGCAGCAACTGTAGATGGACCCGGCCGAGATCCGCCGCCACTCGCGCGAGCTCGCGCTCGAGGCCATTGCCGCGCAGAAGAAGGATCTCCAGCGCTGGGGCGTTTTGGCCGACTGGAGCGGCGCGCCGGGCACAGCGTACCACACGATGGACCCGTCGTACGAAGTCAAGCAGTACAACGTCTTCAAGAAGATGGTACCCTATTCTCTCCAGTAGGTATCTGCAGTGTCGACGTAGGTGCAAGACGGCTTGATCTCGCAGGGATACAAGCCCGTGTACTGGTCGCCGTCGTCGGGTACGGCGCTTGCCGAGTCAGAGCTCGAGTACAACGACGAGCACACGTCGCAGTCGGCGTACATTCGCTTCCGCCTCAAGACGCCGACAGGTGTCCTTTCGGCCCACGCCGCCAACGCCACGGTACACCAGTCCTTCGTTCGATGCATCACACTCGTCATTGCCCTAGATCTCGGCCGTCATTTGGACTACGACGCCGTGGACGATCCCGGCCAACCGTGGTCTCTGCTTCCGGTACACCACCTCCTAATCTCGCTCTCGTTGCGGATACTTGGCTCACGCATGGGTGGTTCTAGGGGCGACTTGACGTATGCCCTCATCGAGACGGCGCCAGGCGCCTACGATCTCGTGGCCCAGGACCTCGTCGAGACGTATGCGAGCTCGATCTTGGAGCAGCCCGACGTCAAGATCATTGCGACCTTCTCGGGCGCCGACGTCCTCGGCAACGTCTTTGCCAACCCGTTGGACGAGCGCGTCGACTCGATCGCGCTGCTCGGCGACCATGTGACGACCGACGCCGGTACCGGCGTTGTGCACACGGCGCCGGCCCACGGCCAAGAAGATTACCAGGCGTGGATGGCGCACCATGCGCAGTTTGGCACGGACAACAGCATGACGTGCCTCGTCGACGGCAAGGGCAAGTACACGGCCGAGGCCGGCCCGCACCTCGCCGGTCTCTTTGTGCAAACCAAGGGCACGGCGGCGGTCCTCGAGGCACTTGGTGCCAAGGAAGCGGCGCTCGTGCAGTCGGCCAAGCTCGTCCACCGCTACCCGTACGACAACTACTTCCACATTTACTTTTGACAACGCAATGGCTAGGTACGACTGGCGTACGAAGAAGCCCATCATCTTGCGCGCGACCAAGCAGTGGTTTGCCAAGCTCGATACGCTGCATGCGCTCGGCCACGATGCACTCAACGACGTAGCAATGCATCCCAAGTCGTCCCGCCGCCGCTTGGAAGCGACGCTCTCGAGCCGGAACGAGTGGTGCATCTCCCGCCAGCGGGCGTGGGGTGTCCCGATCCCAGTCTTTTACGACCTGGAGACGGACGCGCCGCTCTTGACGACCGACTCGATCGAGCACGTACAGACCGTCATGGCGGCGAATGGCGGCTCGGACGCTTGGTGGACGCTGCCGCTCTCGGAGCTCCTCCCGCCCGGATACGATCCGGCCATGTACCGCAAGGGCATGGATACACTGGACGTGTGGTTTGACTCTGGCAGCTCGTGGCTTGCGGTTTTGGACGGCCGCCCGGCCGACATTTACCTCGAGGGCTCGGACCAGCACCGCGGCTGGTTTCAGTCATCGCTGCTCACGTCCCTTGCCGTCCAGAAGAAGGCGCCGTACAAGCAGATCATCACGCACGGCTTCATTCTGGACGAGCGGGGGCAGAAGATGTCCAAGTCCCTCGGCAATGTGTTGGTGCCAAGTGACATTATTGACGGCAAGAAGAAGCAAAACATCCCGGCGTACGGCGTCGATACGATGCGGTATTGGGTCGCGACGACCGACTACACCAACCAAGTGTCGGTCGGCCCCTCGACGATGGTCAAGGTCAGCGACAGCGTCCGCAAGGTGCGCAACACGGCGCGGTTTTTGCTCGCCAACTTGAACGACTTTGACCCGCGCACCGACATGGTGCCGTATGCCGACTTGACGCCGCTCGACCAGTACATGCTGCACTTGTTGTCGGAGCTCCAGACGACCGTCACGGACGGGTAGGGTTTTTTTTTCGTTTTTTCTCGATTTATCGGATTTATACGTAGGTATGAGACGTTTGCGTTCAACAAGGTGCAGCAAGCGCTCGCGCACTTTATTGCGACCGACCTCTCGGCCTTTTACATGGAGGCGTGCAAGGACCGCTTGTACTGCGAAGCGCCGCAGTCGCCGCTCCGCCGGTCGACGCAGACGGTATGTTTTGTTTTTCGGATTTTTCATTTTTCGGATTTTTCATGTGGCCTTTTTCGGATTTTCAACGTGTTTTTGAACTGTAGGTGCTTGAAATGGCGCTCCGCACGATCAACACGGCGATCGCGCCCGTGATTTGCCACACGGCCGAAGACATTCGCATGCACCGCCTCGCGCAGTACACCAAGCAGCTCATCAACGACGCGCCGGGCAGCGTGTTCCTTGACGGCTGGTTCCAGTCCGAGGTAAAAACGCTGGAAACATCGGAAAATCGATCGAAATACATTCAAAATGACGCTAGGCGCAATGGCACAACCCGGCGCTTGCCAAGGACTGGGACGTCCTTCGCCAGCTTCGCTTTGAAGTCAACCGCGTCGTCGAAGCCATGCGTGACGCTGGCGACGTCAAGACGACGCTCGAGTGCAACGTTCACATTGGCGCGTCGCCTGAGCTCCTCGCGATCCTCGCGCGCGTTGATGGCCGCGTCCTGGAAGACATGATGCTCTGCTCGGGCATCACGTTGACGCCGCTGACGACCGATGCGTCGCACACGCTCAACGTCGGCGACGCTTCGCTGCCGTTGCAGCTCACTGTGACGCTCGCGAGTGGCCACAAGTGCCCGCGCTGCTGGAAGTACTCGCCGGACGTCGACGCGGCCATGACGACACTCTGCGAACGCTGTGCGACGGCGTGCGGCCATGCGACCGTCGACGCGCTTGTCGACGCGCTCACGCCCGAAGACGCCTAAGTGTCGGCGCGAGATGACGATGGAAGAGAGGATAGAGGAACCCTTTTGGTGTCAAGATTTTGATTTCTGCATATGATTTGGGTTCATGTAGGTGTCGCAAGGAGGTTGCAGCTCTGGAGGCTCGCCAAGCATCACTACCTGGTAGTCGCAGATGCTGTTATAAACTACGTACAAGCGGTGCTCGGGTAGTGACGAGCTATTGGAATCGTCAAGTGGCGTCATTATAGCCCTCCATGCAGCAGTAAGCAGCGTTCGTCTTGTGGTGAAAGCAGTCCATTCTTCTAATGCGACGTCGAGTCTGTGATAGATTGTGGTTTTGGCCTTCTTCCCTACCCGTAGTTTGGGTACTTGGCGGAAACGGAGGTAGGATTCGCGGACGAGGTGTTGACATGGCCTCTCACGCGGTGCTTAATGCTTAAACCCGGAGACAATCGAGCTGCCCGGGTCTTGAACACGACTATGGGGTTGGTGCTGCTAAGTGACGCCCAGTGACACCACTCATGCATCGCTCATCCATCGGCAGCAAGATGGATGCAATGACCCGGTGGACCACGCCTGGCGGTCTGACTTCCGGATATCGTTTCACCAGATGTTTGAAAACATCCGGCGACTCAGATGCGTACCTGCTTTCGGAACACATTCGATTTGGACACTTGGCGAGAATGACTCGTCGGTGGACGAGACTCTCGTGGGCCTCGGTGCTCACGATGGTTGCTCTCGGGATCGCCATCCATTTGTACCGACCGTCGTCGACGCTGCGTCACCAGGACGTCCAGGAAACCGCCTTGCGCGCTGCGCTGGCGCGCCCGCCGGCCACGACCCTTGTCAACAGCACGCAGCTCGTCGACGGCGCGCTCGTATCGAAATACGAGACGAACCTCGTGCATGTGGATCCGCAGTTCTTTCTCGAGCCCCTGGCGTGCGCGTATGACCCGCGCCCGAGCAGCGAGCGGGTGCCTGTCGCGCCGCTCATGCAGCTGCCAATCGGGACGCTGGCGGCCAATGCGTCCGTGTTTGTCATGCTCAACGGCGAGAACGATGGCCTCTTTCTGCCGTGGCACGGCGACAGCACCTGTCTCCATACGATCGCCATGCAAGCTGCGCGAGCGCTCGGTGCTCACCCGTCTCGCATCGCAAACGGCGTCCGCCTCGTGTCCCAGTACAGTCTGCCGATCACATCAGCAGACGACCTCGAGGTCGCCAACCGCATCGTACACGTCCTCCTCGACTTTCAGCTGTGGGTCTGGCCCGGCATTGCAACAACCATACGTTCTCGGTCGATGGCGTCACACTGCGCACGCTGAGCCTCTCGCCCAAGGTGTTTGGCGTCGAGGGCTTTTTCACACATGCCGAGGCGAATGCGATCATTGCAGAAGGCACGCCGGGGTTGCAGCGGTCGGTGGTCGGTGAATCTGCCGACGGCGAAGTGTCGACGATAAGAACGAGCCACACGGCGTTCTTGCGCGACAGCGAGCTCACACGGCACATGCAGGTGCGGGCCTCCCGAGCCCGTCGTTTGCCGAGCGGCTCCAACTCGTGCGCTACAAGAGCGGCGAATACTACCGAAAGCACCTCGACACGATGAGCTCCAAAAACATTCTGCCGCCGCACGCCAACGACAAGGACTTTGACGACTATCTCGCGCGGGCAAAGTGGGCAGCACAGGCCATTGATGCGCTCGGCAACGACGCGCCAGCAGGATTCCAACCAGGCGACGCGCTGAACCCGCGGCCGCGCGATTCAAGCGATTCCCAAATGCGCTGCTGCAGCTGTTTTTGGACTCACAGCCGCACTTTTTCACGAGCCGCCAGGACGTGGCGTCGGGCGTCGGCGGCACGATGCGGCTCGTCCTCAAGCAGCGTCCGACCTATTTGCCATCGATCATCCAGGCGTGGGAAGCCGCCGCGAACCGCATACGACTGCGGTATGCGTTTCCAACGACGTTCTCGACTGCGCGCGGCGCCGGCATGAGTCACTTTTTACGTTGGATCCGCTGGGTCAAGGAAAAGGTGTCGATCCTCGGTGTCGATGCGGTGCCCGCCAGCGTCGCGCCCGCGGGGTCGTTGTACCCCAAGTTTGACGACAGGTTTCAGTTCCAACTGCTCTCACTGTTGGAAGCCCATGCATCGCCCGATGCGCTGCGGACGATGTTGACGCCAACGTGGTTTGATTTCTTTCAAACGTACAAGACGCGGCGCGACTGCCTCCACCTCTTGCTTCAAAACGTCCCTGGGCTCGTACGCCACCTTATTGCGGCGTGGGAAGCGGCTGTCGACGATACCCGGTTTCACTATACGCTGCCGTCGTACGTCAAACACACGAGTCCCAACCGGTTTGCGACGCTCTTCGTGTACCTCAACGACGTGGCGGGGGGCGGCACGACCGCGTTTCCGCATGCAGCTGTCCCCAGCACCCTCTCGCCAACGACAAGTGCGACCAATAACGAGTGCAACCAAGGGCTGAGCGTGGTCGCAAAAGGCCTGAGCGCTGCATTCTTTTACGTCATGACGCCCGACATGGACATTGATCCGCTGAGCGAGCACGGGGGTGCCCCCCGATTGGAAACCAGGTCAAGTGGGGTGCGAATGCATTCTTGTGGACCGACGACGCCAACGAGGGCACGATTTTTTGGGAGTAATCTAGTCAATAATCCACTCCGGTGTCGTTGATGGACGATAAATTGATGGTCCAGCCTCGTCCAATAAGATCCTAGTTGGACGTATATGGGATTAGGTGTCAAGTTGCTGTGTCCAGTAGATGATCGCGGACAACGATGCATGTACCGCATGTTTGTACATGATTGTCTCTCGGGCGGTCAGCAATGTACCTACAAGATGACCTTGCACCATGGAGCATCGATCTCTGGCCGCGTTCCCATGCTCCTATTTGGCTTGTAAAACGGTAAACTTCATAGTCCGATAACGAACGTTTCAAATCGATGGTCCAGCATCTCTGCTCGTGGATCACGGCCGCCGCGGGAGAGCCCGTCGGTCGTTTCGACACGCTGCCTCCAGCTTCCGAGCTCTCGTCGCGTCGCGCGTCGAGCTGGGCGCGCCGCGTCTCGTACAAGCAATTCCTCGTCCTCGACGCCCTTCTCCGCAGTCTCAATCTCGTTATCAACATCTACTCGATCGCAGCGTTTCTCCAAACCTCGTCGCTTGTGGACAATCTTCTCATGCGCCAAGCGTCCTTTATGGACGATATCGTCCATGGCGTGTACAACTTGACACCGCTTCTGCCCGTTGACGTCAAGATCCAAAGCATTTTGCAACAAGGGCATGCGGGCCAGAGCAAGCGCATCGGCGTTCGTGATGCGTCTCTCGCTTTTCCTGGCGGCAACCACTCGCTCAGCTGGTGCATGCGCGTCAACATCTCGCTCGGCGTTCAGTACCATACCATGTACAACCACGACGGCGTGTCCCGGCGACTGCTACGGTTCGTGCACACCAATTTACCGCCGAGTTGCGTCGGATGGACTGTCGCGTCGGGTGGCAGCCACGACGCACCACGCCTTCACGTTGTGGATGATGCACGGTCCGGCTACGGCACCTCGTATCTGCACTGCACCGATCAACGGTACTACATGCCACCGCTCGGTCTAGCGGCCAACGTGAGCCAATTCCGGTTTCGAGCTGGGTACATCGTCGCCCAGCAGCGCGATGCGGGAGGTGTTTTGAGTGTCGAGACGCATATTTCGCAGTGCAAAGCCGAGAAGATCGGCGATTCACTGGTATACAAGGTGTCGCCGGCGATCGAGGGCGATGACACCGAAGACGTCAACATCCTCTTTGGCCAAAAGAGTCGGTTGCTGACGTTTCTGGACTATGTCGGTCAGCTCCTTGTGTTTGGCGTTTTGACGCGGGAGCTCTGGCGTCTCACATCACGCCGAACGACACGCATCCCGACACAAACGTCGGCGTACTATACAGCCATTCTCGACACCCTCCTGCACCGACCGAGGCCGGAGATTCCAACGCTTGACGCCGGTCGGTCCGTCCTGAGTCTCTCGCAGCTCTGGCTTGCGAATCCGTGGTATCTCGTGGGCAACGGGATGTACGCTATCGGGACAACCACCGAGGTGCAGACACTTGTCGAAGTCTTCTTCTGGCAAGCGTCGCTGAACGGCAATGTCGCCGACTTGCTCCAAGCGGCCATGTATGCGATGCGACACGCCTGGGTCTGCGTCGGTATATGGACGTTCTTGCGGTGGCTTGTCACAACACGTCATCTTCCGCCAGGCGTCATGACATACCTGGGTCGCCCCATCCGCACCATTGAGCGCTACTGTTCGTGTCGAAGTATCGTGCTCGGCTTTATCGTTGGCTTCCTCGTCGGAGGCTTTACACGGGGCAGTCTCTACCTCACGGAACGCGTCAACGTTGTCGATATGGGCAATGGCATGGCCGAAGCTGCGGTTTGGGGCTCGGAAGACATGACGACGCTACTGATGTGCGATACATTTGGCCTTCTCGTGACAGCGCTCATTGCCGTGTGCATGCGATGTTTGCTGCAGAAAGCGCGCCCCAACCACGGACGCAATTCGTTTCTACGGGCAATCGACGCCCACCGACGAGGTTCGGGCTTTGACCTGGCCGAGCTCCTCGTTGGGTCTCGCTCGCTGAGTCTCGGAACGCATTGGGTCCTTGTTCTGCCGGTCGCCGATCTCTACCTCGTGTATTCGTCCGTGAATCTGTGCGCTTACACGGCCATGCAGACCCTACCCCGCGCAGCGCCAGGACACGCGCTTCGGTGCGAGACCCTCGACGACGGCAGAACGCTGGCTTTTGTTGACGCCGGCGTCATCGTGCCGGGTCTTGTAGCGCTGCAAGCGGAGCATCCCGGCTACGAGTTTTGTGCCGTGATATAAAAAAGGACCCCAAATATCCAAATTTGCTTGGACAGCATAGGTTTGCAATCCGTATCGTGGAAAGGACCCTAACCCAAGGCTTGATATTTCCTTACCCTATACGTCAAATGCTCGAAAAGAAATGGGAAAAGAGAAATGTGTAGCAAGGGAATTATTCGCATTCCTAGGCTATTCGGCTCGTTTAGAACTAGGACTCGGTGTCGACAGTATACACGCGCAGAGACGCGCGAGTTTGCATGCCACACGTATTGTTTGTTGACGAGCACTACATTGCGCTACGTCGTCGATGCGGTCGTAGCGATAAAGGTTGCAATGGCTGCGACACCGCGCGCTGCCATCTCCTTGAAAAAGAAGCCCAAAACAGGGGTGATGTGGGGGGCGAGCGGCTCGACTTCAACGGTAAGTGGCACGTTCTGGCGACGCAAGACCTCTTCAAGGCGCTTGCAGTCGTCGCTGAAGGCTTCTTTTCCGCCATAATGCAGTAACATCGGACACATGCCGGTAAAATCACCGTGCACTGGCGACACGAGCGGATTTTGCAGCAGTGACGCCGGCGCGTCCTCGGGGAGGTAGGCATCCACATGAAGCCGCAGGTGGTGGGCATGGATGACGTCGACAGCTTTGTACTTGGCGTACGACGGCGCGAACGCCGTGACGTCGGCGTTGCACCACGGCGAGACAAGCACCGCGCCGGTTGGCGCCGGAAGCGGTGCCGCTAGCATCATACACTGTTTCAAACACTGTACTAGACACTGGATGCAGGAAAGGCCACGTACCTCGGTCGCGCAGCGTTTGCAAAAGCGCCAACGCGAGGTTGCCACCGGCCGAGTCGCCAAACAAAAAGACGGGTCGCGATGGAAAGGTTGTCACCACGTGCTCGTATGCAGCTTCGGCTTCGTGGATCTGAGTTGGAAACTACAGACAAGTTGTCCATCATGCCATCAAACTACAACGTGCAAAAACTTACCCGCGCCTCGGGCGCCAGCGTGTACTCAAGCGCCAGCACACGCAGATCGATGCCATGGGCTGTCGCCAGCGCCGTGCGCAACTCGGCGAGACCCGAGAGGTACGTTCGCGCATCACAAGTGGTGTAGCCGCCGCCTAGCCCGTGGTTTGAAAACGCAAAAGAGGACGAACGATGCACGTACCGTGCATGTAGAGCAGGATCGGGTCCGTGCTACTGGCCTCTTGGGCGTCGCCGAGCCAGAGGCCTTGAAAGCCAGGACCAGAGACCGCGGTGATGCTGTCTCGGATGGCGAGGTTGGCCACCTTGGACGACAGCGTCGTCATGCGCCGCGCCGCCATGCGCTCGTTCTCGAGGATGAGGTTGAGGTACTGCACCGAGAGCGCGGTGCGGAGCGACCAGCCGTCGACGGGCGGCGTGTAGCGACCAAGACAGTACTGAACGAGGGTGGACAGCGTCATGCCAAGAAAGCGCAGCACGAGTCGCAGCGGCGTCTGCGGCGGCATCGTTGGCAGCGACGCACGCCACTCCATCGTCGTCGGTCGAGTGCAAATCGCGAAATGATCACCACCTGGTCGCTGACCACCAGAGACTGAGTCAGGCATTCGAGTCAACCCACGTGCCTTCTACATCGTACCGGGTAGGTGTTCCGCAGTAGGGCTAAACACGTCCAACAGGCGTACCCGGCTGCGATCTCGTGGCTTGGACTTGCTCAGCTCTGCCTAGCCATATAGTACTGGCTTCAGGACCTCCCGCCTGTCTTCGCCGATCCAAAACGTTCGGCATACCGGATAATATCCGTAATTCCTACCGAAGTGCAAAGTGACTGCTTGGCCAATTCATCCTTTCGAGTTGGACATACCTCGTCCATGGCGTCCAATGACACTATGGTACAGTGTACTCGATATACGATAAGACAATATTACACCACGGCGCAGTAGATATAGCCTGTTGCGTCGACTTGGAGCTCGGCCAGCGCGGGAACGTGGAGCCCCGAGTCACTCCAGCGCAAGGTCACGCCTGCAGCGTCCGTCGCACACTCGATCGCGTTGCCTCGTGGCAGATTCCGAGGCAGCGGTCGCATGCACGTGCTTTGTAGGACGTTGACAGACGCGTAGACGTGGTAGAGGTCTGCGAGCGGCAGTAGCAAGACGCAACGCCCGCCCATATTGAGGGACCGAGAGCCGCCGAGGAGGTGGGCAATGTCAAAGCCGGCAACAACCCGGTGCTGCTGCACGGCCCGCACAAACGAGTTGCGTTCGTGGCCGGGACACCGCCAGCGCAAGAGCTGGCAGATACAGACGCCAAAGCTACCGCCGAGCGCGATGGCAAAGCCGTGGCAGATGAGAAGGGTGGTCATGTCTTGGGAGCTCCAAACAGGCGCCTCGGCCATACCGCTGCCCATATCAACAACGTTAAGGCGCTGTGTGAGAATGAGGCTGCCACGAAGAAACCCTGTGCCGAGGCACGCCAGCATAAAGGCGACGATGGTGCTGCGGCACGACACGTACGCTTCCATTGCGCAGACATTTGTTCGCAGCCAGCGCGGTACCTTGAGTCTCCGAATCGCGGCACGACATGTTGTCCAAAAGAAGACACTGACCCACGCTTGGCGCACCGAGTAGAGAACGGCATAGATCAAGTCGGTCACGTGACGCCGGATAAGAAATTGCCAGAAAAAGATCTCGACCAGTGTCTGGGTCTCGTGGGTTGTCCCGATCGCGTACATGCAGTTGCCCATGAGATACCACGGGTTGGCGAGCCAGAGCTGCGAGAGACTCATGACCGAGTGCCCCACATCCATGAACTCAATGAATGACACGTGGTCACGTGAGAGCCACGGGATCGCCGTCGCATACCAGGCAAACGACTGCGTCGGAACGCGTGTGACGGACGGCACCGACGCCCGGGTCGCTTCAAACAGCAGCACACTGAGCACGATCATCTGACCGGCATAGTCCAGAAGCGTCAGCAACCGACTCTTTTGGCCAAAGAGGATGTTGACGTCTTCGGTGTCATCGCCCTCGATCGCCGGCGACACCTTGTATACCAGTGAATCGCCGATCTTCTCGGCTTTGCACTGCGAAATGTGTGTCTCGACACTCAAATCACCTCCCGCGTCGCGCTGCTGGGCGACGATGTACCCGGCTCGAAACCGGAATTGGCTCACGTTGGTCGCTTGACCGAGCGGTGGTATGTAGTACCGTTGATCGGTGCAGTGCAGATACGAGGTGCCGTAGCCGGACCGTGCATCATCCACAACGTGAAGGCGTGGTGCGTCGTGGCTGCCACCCGGCGCGACGGTCCATCCGACGCAACTCGGCGGTAAATTGGTGTGCACGAACCGTAGCAGTCGCCGGGACACGCCGTCGTGGTTGTACATGGTATGGTACTGAACGCCGAGCGAGATGTTGACGCGCATGCACCAGCTGAGCGAGTGGTTGCCGCCGGGAAATGCGAGGGACGCATCACGAACGCCGATGCGCTTGCTCTGTCCTGCATGTCCTTGTTGCAAAATGCTTTGGATCTTGACGTCAACGGGCAGAAGCGGTGTCAAGTTGTACACGCCATGGACGATATCGTCCATAAAGGACGCTTGGCGCATGAGAAGATTGTCCACAAGCGACGAGGTGGCCAAGAAGGAGACGAGCGGGTAGACGTTGAGGCACATATCGAGAAGCCGCAAGAGCCAGTCGAACTGAACGCCGCGCACGCAGGAGGAGCGACGTGTGCAGCGGCGCGGAAGGTCTGTGACGGACGGTCCTCGTGCTTTGCGGCTAGCGGTGTGCACGCGAAGGAGGCTTCGCCGCGGCAACAGCGGCCGTGGGTGGTCATACATCACTTTTTGAGCAGAAAGGACGAAACGGTCGTTTCCAGTTTCCGGTTGACATAACGGTTGTTGTTGAAGTGGGTCGTCTATTAAAATAGATACGTAAATATGTACGTAAATCTACGCTAAATAAAATTGTCGGACTTTCTTGGTTGTGTAGACGCTGGTGATGATCTTGATCTAGGCCGGCGGAGGCAGGAGCGCGATCCGCGGGACAAGGTGCTGGCGCGGCCACTCGTGTTGAGCGAGGAGCCGGAGAAGGCGACGTAGAGCCATCTGCCCTGGGTTTTGAACGAGGCGGTTGCCATAACGGTTGCATAGAGGCGCCTCCACATGGAGAATCACTGGACCTGTGCGACGTACATTGTATGCATTGGTGCGCAAGATCGCGACAGCGACGAGCTCGATCAGCATTCATCAATAGCTCAATTCAACAGCAACTCCGTCAGTGTCAAGGGAATCGTCCCCGTCTCAGCGAGTCCCCAGCCTCAATGACCTTTCTGGAGTCGTAGTAGGAATCGTACTCTACTTTCTACATGCGAAGCACCAAACCAGGACGACTACATCTCACACTAAGTGAATTCATCACATGTAGTTGCTTCCAAGCTCGAGAAGCGTACGATCGTCGAATGAGATCTTATTGCCGTCACTATAGTACGCATATTTGCCACGCGCGGAGCTCACATTCGCTCGAAATGCATGCTTTACGTTCAAACGAGACGACCAACGCCCTCTCGGACTCAAATTACAGCGCAGTACAGGTATCCGCTCGCCTCCTGCTGCAGCGCTGCGAGTTCAGGCACATAGATACCAGCATCCCGCAGCTCGAGGACCGTGCCGTTGTCGCTCGTGATGCACTCGACCGCGTGTCCGGGGGGCGCAGACGGCAGACTCGGCATGGCCGTTTGTCGGAGCAGATTCACCGACGAAAAAATCAAGTAGACATCCGCGAGCGGCAACAAGAGGACCCAGCGGTCGCCGACACGCAACGAGCGCGATCCGCTGAGCAGCTGCGGCATGTCAAAACCCGAGCAGACGCGGTGGCGGTCAATGGCTTGGAAGAACGAGTTGGTGCGGTGCCCGGGGAGGAGCCACGCCAAGAAACCTCGCGTGATGAGGCCAAAGATCGTCGCAAAGAGGATCCCAAACGTATGGCTCATGGAGAGACTTGTCATGTCTTCAGAGCTCCAGAAGGCCGACTTTGGGAGGCCATAGGCCACGTCGATCACGTTCATTCGGTCGGTCAGAAACCAATGACCGCGCGAGACCGCCGTCACGAGGCAGGCGAGAAGAAAGGCGAGTACAATGGCGCGGCACGAGCAATAGACTTCGACCATGTGCACACTCCGAACAAACACGCGTGGAAGGAACGGGAGGTAGAGGCGCGTCACGACCAATCGCAGGACGCTCCACACTGCGACGCTGACCCACGCATGCCGCATCGCATACACCGTGGCTTGGGCGAGGTCGGTGAAGCGACCGCCGACGGAATACTGCCAAAAGAACGTCTCGACAAGCGTCTGCGTCTCGTTGGTTGTCCCGAGGGCGTACATGCAGTTGCCAATGAGATAGCACGGATTCGCGAGCCAGATTTGCGCAAAGCTCATGACCGAGTAGCCACCGTCCAGCGTTGGTCGCGCGCGGGGTTCACGACCACATAGGACGTCGACAGCAGCCGCATACAGCGAATACGATTGCGTTGGAATGTATGTGATCGTTTGGGCCGACGAGCGCAAGACTTCTTGAATCAAAATCAAAAGTACAATGCTTTGCCCGACGTAATCGAGCAGCCATAGCGCCCAGTTCTTGGTGCTAAAGAGAACGTTGACGACTTCGCTTGTGTCGCCCTCGAGAAACGGCGACACTTTGTACATCAGCGAGTCGCCTATTTTTTCGGCCTTGCAGTGGGATATGTGCGTCTCAATGCCAAAGCTGCCACCGGCAAAGTGCTGCTGCGCAACCACATACCCAGCACGGAATTGAAACGAGCTGACATTGGCCGTTTGGCCAAACGGCGGCGTGTAGTACCGCGGGTCGCTGCAGTGCAGATACGACTGGCCAAACCCTGCACGGGCATCGTCGACGGCGAGGATCCGCGAATCGTTAAACGATCCACCGGGCGCGACCGTCCACCCGACGCAGCGTGGTGGTAACTTTGTGTGCACGTACCGAAGGTACCTCCGTGAGACGCCGTCGTTGTTGTACACGGCATGGTATTCGACGCCGAGGGTGATGCCGACGCGGAGGCACCAGCTGAGCGAGTGGCCGCCGTCCGGCGTTGCGAGCGCCGCGTCACGCAGCCCGACATGCTTGCTTTGGCCGGACGTCGCATTGCGGAGGAGATGGAGAATGACGACGTCACTGGGCCCCTCTGGTGCAAAGTCATACACGCCGTTGGCTACGTCGTCCATAAACACAGCTTGGCGCATGAGCAGCATGTCGACAAGCGTCGAGGTCGTTACGAACGAGAGGAGAGAGTAGACGTTGATGCAAAAGTCCAGGAGCCGAATGAAGCGATCGAAGTGCAGAAAGCGTTTGGTGGGTGCTGATGTCGTCGGCGCAGGCTGCGTGGGGTTGGGAGCCACGACGCTGATCGGGGTGATGGACGGCGATAGCTTCTTGTTACCGGTGGCAAAGGTCATCATCTTCGTTCTCACCTCACCGCCACTTTTTGGGGTACAGAGTGGGCACAATGTCAGCGGTCGACGTCGTAAAATGTTGCGCTATATTCAGATATTTCCCGCGCTCTAAAAGTGAAACGCAGGACTCGGAACCGTTTTTGACGACGATGATTGGCTGGATCGTTCAAGGACAACTGTGATTGGTTAAAGCGGTACAGATACTGTACTTACATGCCATCGTCGAGACAGCCGCGGGGAACCAAGTCGCAGATGGATTCGTCTGCAAGTCCAATTAACAAATCCCAGAAAGGCCAATACTAATCATACACGATCGATTTACTCACATAAATGGCAACCATCCGCACCGAGCGGCCGTGCGCTGGAGGTCACGGGATCGATCCAACGACTGCAAATCGTTGAAACCGACGGTGCCATGGACCAGTGCAACAAAAATATTGTGTGTTCGCTCGGCGTAATTTTCGCGCCAAGCCCCGGTGGCTTGCTACTGTGCGTAATGCAGGATCCGTGCCCTTCGCGAGTGCTTCGGGCCAGAAGTCTCATGTTACAACGGTTAATCATTCGCCGACTCTGACTGAACCACGGCATGATTCGGTCCGTGCCCCACCAAAGTGTTTTCCAACCAGGTATGACCCGCCATTCGATTCGACCTCTTGTGGTCGCTTGCCCTTCCCATGGCCGTCCGTTCCTCAAAGTCGGACCCTATCCATCTATACACAAACGACACCAATGATGACGTCACATGCCCATCCCTGCATCCCAGCTGGCAAATCTTCTTGGTGTAGCCGCGTTGCTCACGCCATCCGCGATGGTAGCCGAAGGTCATTTTTCGAGCATTTCATTTTGGTTTTTTGTGGCATGTGGCAACCCATCGTCGTCGGAGTCCTCCTCGCCGTCGTCTTCTTCGGCGGCGTTGCATTCGTGCTCAAGCAGCGCCATGCACCGCCATCGCCGCGGTTTCAATCCCGGTCTCCGACCGCGCTGTTTTGTTTTCGGTCGCTCTGTCTCGCCTTTTACCTCGTCGTGCTCGTTGCGCAGTGGGTTCAATCTGGCTTTGCGTCCTACAACTTTTACACGTTCTGGAACTTCAACCTCCAGGCTGTCTACTTTGGCTGGACGCTGCTCGCGTGCGTCGTCGGGTCGGTCAACAGCCGCGGGCTCAACACGCTTTTCGATGTCGTGTTTGCCAACAGCTTTGTCGTCGCGACCGTCTTTTGGCTCGTGCTCTACTCGCCCAAGTACGGCGTCACGTGGCTTCAAATGGCCCAACACGGTGTCAACTCGATGCTGCTTGGGCTTGAATTTGCGCTCAACGATTTTTCCGTGCAGCCGCGCAGCATGGCCTATGCGTCGTTTCTCTTGCCGGATGTCTTTGCTGCGTTTGCGTGGGTCGCGCGCGAAGGCTGGCTCAACTATTGGGTCTACTCGTTCCTCAATGTCTACAAAGTGGCCTCGCCATTGTGGTATGTCGGGATCCTCCTCGGCCACTGTGTCTTTTTCGGTCTCGCGGTTTGTCTCTCCAAGGGCAAGCAGTGCGTTCGCCGCGATGCCAATGATCTTGCATCGCCGTTGATGCGCGAGTCGACTAGTGTTGCTAAGGTCTAGTTGTTGTTGAAGTGGGTCGTCTATTAAAATAGATACGTAAATCTACGCTAAATAAAATTGTCGGACTCTCTTCGTAGTGTAGGCGCTGGTGTTGATCTTGATCTAGGCCGGCGGAGGCAGGAGCGGGACAAGGTGCTGGCGCGGCCACTCGTGTTGAGCGAGGAGCCGGAGAAGGCGACGGAGAGCCATCTGCCCGGGATTTTGAACGAGGCTGTGGTGCAAGTGCATTTGAGCGTACGTGATCACACGACGCATCTTTCCATCACGCACAAACCACACATGCGCACAAACTGGGTGTTTTGCGCGAGTTCGAGTTGAAATGACCTTTTCACGAAGGGTCGTAAGCACCCCGCCTCAACTCACCCGAGGTCCTGGCAGGAATGAAGCCATTACGCCCATTGCCCCCTGAGGAAGCTTGCCATTGTGAAATGTATTACTTAGCCATTGATGTCATTTTCTGAAATTGCCCTCTTTATTTTCATGACGGATTTGTATGGGCCAACGTTTCCTACCACGGTCGCCGCGCGCAATGGTGGTTTACACCGTCCACACGATGATCCAAACGATTGGTCCAATGACAAACGTCGCATGGTAGATGGACTGTACAGGCGTCGAGCGTACGCCATTGAAATAGAGAAAATTCGAGTCGCGTTGTCGGTGGGGGGTCCATCTCTGGCCACAACAACCCTCGTGCAACAACATTTGCACCTGGGCGGTGTCGATAAACGGTGTCGATGCATTCTGGCACAAGCAATCTGGGCTCAACGACGTTCTGGCCGCTTTGATAGTACTACGTGGCCTTTTCTCGACCAACGCTATACATGGTCAGTTGAACTGCAGTACGAGATACAACTGGATTCCCAACTATACAACCCATCGCACGATCGCACAAGCTGAATTGTGGCTCGCAGAGTTTCGATCGCTGGTGTTCAGTTGCCCATATCGCTGCGGGTGGCGGTCGATCCTGTTGCATTCTTTTTTCTACCACTCAAAGGCAAAGCATCGTTATGTGGCAACCCGTTGTCGTCGGCGTCTTCCTCGCACTCGCTCTGCTTGGTGCTGTCCTTTTCGTGCAAAGGTCGTCGCCCGCACCACCGATTGTGCGCTACCCAACTCGGTATCCCAAGGTCCTGCTCGGCGTGCGGTGCATGGGCCTCAGCTTTTACGTCATCGTCATCATCGCGCAGTTTGTCGAAGCCGGCATTGTCGCCGAATACGTCTACTACACGTTCTGGAACTTCAACCTCCAAGCCATCTACTTTGGCTGGGCGATCGTCACGTCGCTCGTCAGGTCGAACGATAGCTGCGCCCGCAACACGCTCTTTGATGTCGTTTTCGTCAACAGTTTTCTCATTGCTACAGTCTTTTGGGGTGCCCTCTACTCGCATATTTACAAGGTCACGTGGCTGCACATATCCCAGCACGGCATCAACTCGGCGCTGCTTTTGCTTGAATTTGGGCTCAACGATTTGCGTGTGCAGTTGCGCAGCATGGTCTATGCGTCGTTTCTGCTGCCCGATATTTTTGGTGCGTTTGCGTGGGTCGTCCACGAATACTGGGTCGACGACTGGGTCTACCCATTTTTGGACGTCACCAAGGACTTCGCACTGCTCTGGTACATGGGGATGCTCCTCGGCCACTGTGCCTTCTTTGGCCTTGCGATGGGCCTCTCCAAGCTCAAGGCGCATTGGCACCAGAGCAGTACGCCGCCATTGACCTCGCCGTGGCTGGATGTACCTTTGAATCCGAATGACGAGAAGGACCAACCACTCCGCCTTGTTTAACCCGCTAACTTATACGAGTATACTATTCTACACAAGTGTGTGTTCACGTCCCCGTTGCATCACAGCGTCACAAGCCACGCATGGGGTACGTAGCAGTTCTTATAGGATCGTGAGGGCATCGATACGTTCTTCTAGTAGCAGTCCACTACGTTCTTACCGTTCTCGGAGGCGTCGCGATAAATCTATCCAAGGGGTAGGGCTTGATTGTATTCGCGCGGTGCTGCGAGCTACATACATTGTCTGCAGACAACTCGGACACTCGGACACACCAGAGGTGCCCATTTGCTTGGACTGTAGCTAAATGTACAGAAAGTGTCGTTCTAGTACAATTTTGATCGGTGTTACACTACTTTGGTCAGCGCGTCGGACAAGTGCGGTGAGTGCAGCGTATCGGTGGTTGTTGCTGGTTGACGCACGTACCGCTTGAGCTTGGCGAGACCGAGAGCGACGCCAAAGAAGGCGCCGTGACCAACAATGAGTCCAATGTACCAGAGCGGCGCCAAGGTGTCGGTGACGTTGAGGAACGGATAGACCCAGTCGTCGCGCCAGTACGAGCGCCCGATCCACGCAAATGCACCAAACACCGCAGGAAAAAGGCACGATGCGTACACAACACTGCGCGTCTGGACGCCAAAGTCGTTGAGGCCAAACTCAAGCAGCACGAGGACCGAGTTGACGCCGTGCTCGGCGACTTCGACCCACCGAAGTGGCTTGCTGCTATCGTAGAGGATGGCCCAGAAGACCACCATGACGAGCAGCGCGTCGGCGACGACAACGTCCGAGAATGTGTTGAGGCGGCGCGCATGGTCGTGCTGTACACCCCGCCATTGGACGACGAGGCTGTAGACAAAGTAAATCGTTTGGAGGTTGAAGTTCCAGAACGTGTAGTAGTCGTAGTTGCGAATCCCGCCACCACTCAAGTCGTCAATGAGCACGACGAGGTAGAAGACGACGCTGAGCGCGCGGGTGGCCACAAGCAACAAAGGTCGTGGAAGCGGCGCAAACGCCGACGCGTACGGACGCGGTGTCTGTGCGTGCGTGTACAAGGCGACGACAGAGCCGACGAGGACGACAGCGAGGAGGCAGCCGACGACGACCTCTTGCCACATGAAACACTGGGTTGGTGCGCGGCCAATGCAATTGAAAAGTGCTGAAACCTCAACGATCCCTGGGTGCTACGGGACACCCATGCAACATCGTCGCGCCAGCCGGTACGCTACCCCGGTCCCACCCACGGATTTTCAAAGCTTATGGCGTGAGTCACCAGTGGACCGACTAGACGGATGAGTTAATGCAATGGTTTTTGTGCTTCGTCAGACTTTTTTCTGGGCAATGACCAGATTGTATCAAGGGTATATACCCTTGATTGTATCCAAATAAATGAAACTTTGGTCGAGAAGGCAACTCGAATTCTCGTCGACCCCTCAGCCAATAGCTGTGTACTGGAAACTGAGGCGTCGTGGTGTGATAGTGCCTTGACGAGCGCCGGGTGCACGGCGTTCTTTGTCGTGTCACTGGTTGTGCGGAATATGCATGCATCAACATGCGGTCGTGACGTGGCGGACTGGAAGAGTTGGATGAGCGAGCTACTGTACTGGTAGCAATTCCAGCACTCGTAGTACGTGGTCCGCCGTGGGCTGTTGCCTTGCGGTGACCAGCAGCTCGACCCCATCACGTTCTAGCCAGATATGATGCGTCACAAGCAAGGTATTTTTGACGCTGCTCGAACGATCGATGCAACAATGTACTATGGTTCCGACGCCACGTCATTCTGACCTACTGTTCAACCTTCACTGGTCTGTCGCACCACGCGTCGAGTATTGTAGCTATGCCAATAATGTCCTTATGAAAAATGCATTGATTAAACAAACGCACGTCGGCAAGATCGCGTCGCTCGTACTGTGCGTGATGGGTGGCGTCGTCACAGACCCGTCGCGATCGGTGGCTTGGTGGCTACTCGACCAACGGTAGCGCCGCCTGCGAGGCTTCGTAAAACGCGTGGCCGCGCGGCACCGACGCCGGCGACGGTAGTGCAAAAATGCGCCACAGTTTGATGTCAAAGGCGTAGAGCCGGCCGCGCCAGCGCAGCGGCAAAATGCCGTTGAGGACCGCGGACGCTTTGTCGAGGTAGTAGACGTCGTCGTACTTCCATTTCGAATGCCAGAAGAGGTACCGCGCACCGGCATAGAGAAAGAGCGAGTTGATGTCACTGCGCGGCGCTTCCGTGAGCGTCATGCGGACAACGACGTAGACCACAATGTTGCAGGCGACGACGACGCCGATGAGTGTCCAGAGCCGGCTCGTGCTACCAATGTAAATGGTCGCCGAGTTGCAAATGAGCTGAAAATCGACTTCGGCGGCGTAGCACGCATCGGTCGATAGCATCGCCGAGTGCGATACCGGGTACGTCGCACTCAGAATCGCCGCGACAAGCCAGACGAGAAGACTGTTGGGCGTCGCGCAGTACGGCGTGTACTCGAGCGTGATGACCATGAGAATGTCGTTGACAACCGACAGTAGCCACGTCACTTCGCTCGCCGCGAGCCACGTCTTGTACCACGGATTCGTTGCGCTTTGAAAAAAGCTGTACCCGCCATCATACACGAGTTCGAGTGTGCCGGTCGAGAGGAGACAGACAGCTGTCAAGCTGCGGACAAAGAGGAGCGGCCGACCGACCCAGACGATGCCACCGACGCGGTTGAGCACGAGCATGTTGAGCCCCTCGACGTGCCCCCGGCTCGAGAGTATGTACATGCCAACGACGATCGCGACGCAGATCATCACAAAGGTCACGTACTGGACGCACGCACGGGCGTACGAGGCCACGATGGTCGAGAGTTCCCAGCGCTGCGCCTCGCGCGCCACGAGCGACGTGTAGTCGGAGAGGACGGTGACGTTGCCGACATCCCCTTGAAACGACACGACTTCGCGCGTGCCCCGGCTCCAATCGTAGAGGTAAAACCACGCAAAAAAGTCGAATCGACGGTCGTTCGGGTCCAGGAGCTGCGATGTGTACATGCTCAATGGCGCCGAGAGGTTGGCGACGCCCATTTGCATGAACAAAATGTTGAGCGCTTGAATGTCCGACCGCGCGTGGGCCAGCAGCGGGGTGTAGGCAGAGTACCCCGCCGCCACGCACGCCGGTAAAAAGGCCATGGTCGCGTTGAGGTACCGCGCACACGCTACCGGGCTCGTGCTGGACTGCGCGCAGATCGTTGCAAAGTCCATGCCGGGGATCGCGAGAAGCGACGGAAGGTTGCTCAGCACTGCCGCCAAGACGAGGTACGTGGCCGACATGCCAATGCTGCTGAGCGCGTTCGAGGTCGGGCACTGGCCGCGAGAGAGAAGTGTGCGGGTCCCCGCCGCAATCGGCTGTGGACTGCCGTCGTCACACAGCAAGGACCCGCCTGTCGAGAAAAACCCAACGTCAGCCCACGCAGCTGGAATGACGAGGTTCGAGTCGATCGTTGAAATGTTGGCAAACAGCTTTTGGCACTGCACTTCTTGTCGGAGTCGAAGGCGCACGTATGTTTTGAGCTGCTGCACCGCGATTTTGAGGCTATTGGGAACGGGCACATAGTAGACATCGATCGCGCCAAATGGCCCCAGTATAGTATTTTGCACCAGTGCCATCGCGCGCGTCAGCGGCGACAGAAGTGCACCAGCCGCCACGAGCACAGAGGTCGCCGAGGTGTTGGTGTAGGCAAAATTGGCACTGGACCGAACCAAACTCTGGCCCGCAATGCCCGTCGTTGCATTGGCCGCCACGGCCACCAAGTCGTTGGCGAGCCCCCAGTACATCTTGTACGACGTGGCGCGGGTGGCATGAAACGAGCCGTTGGTCGCCTGGAGTGTCAGCGGGTACACTTCGCCGTACGCATTACTGATGCTATACTTGTTGATCAAGCCGAGCTTCTTGAAGGTTTGCCATTGCAGCGAGTACGAGGTGATGCGCGCCACCATCCAGTGGTCGACTTCGACTGACAAAGGTGCAAGCGCGTCGGTTTGGACGGTCGCGAGCCAGCGCTGGCCTGCACTTGTCGTTGCCAGCTCGGCTCCAAAGGCGTTGTCAAAGGCCTCGCCGTAGCCACAAGAGAGCCAAGCGCTCCAGGCGACATTGCGCAAGATTGCCTCGAGGTACACGGCGCCGTTGGACGCCATGGTGTCGCAGCGTGCAGCGCGCGACGCGGTCGCGGCCACGCTCCACGTTTTCGCAAAGTCGACAAAGCAGTAGGCAGTAAAGATCCAGGGAACATTGCAAGCACTCGTCCTGCGAAGATCGCGGATCGCCGCCGCAGTGCTGTTGAGCAACGTGTACTGCACGATCGACGGGTGGAGGCTCGACGAAATGACGACGCCCGTCGAATCGTTGTACGCACCTGGTAGTACGAGCCCCATGTCGTCGAGATGAAAGGGCGTTTGCACTGCCGGCGGCAAATAGAGCGTAAACTCGTTGAGGTAATTTGCGATAAACGCATGGGCGCCAGTCATGTTGAACGTCGCCCACGACAGATCGTTGGCCAAGTTGACGCGGGATACTTCAAAGTACGAGACGCTACCGATGATGGCCAAAATGATGTACACAAACCCAAGGACAGCAAAGACCGGGTTGTTTTCGTGGTGCCACTTGCGCGACGCGGTAGGATTGTCTACGGCGGCTGCAGGTTTCGCTGCGACAAGGGCGTCGACGGGAGGTGACGCCAGCGGTATCACGTGGTTGCCGTCTCCGTCACGGACGAGCAGCCACAAGCGCAAATCAAAGAGGTAGCCTTGGCCACGGAAGCGAAGCGGCACCAAGCCACAGAGGAGGCACGAGACCGCATCGAGTGCCCATGTGGTGGCGTCGGACGAGGCCACAAAGGCGTGGGCGACCGACGAGACGAGCAAGTGGTGCTGCCCTTCTCGAAGCGCGATCGTTGGTGTCGGGCGAACACGAGCCATTTGAGAGAGCCGACCGAGAATGAAGGCAACTACGATGACCACGAGCTGGGAAGAGACGAGCCAGAGCACGCGCCCGATGCGGCCAATCTCAACGACTCCGCTTTGACACTGGAGTGAACGGTCCATATCGGTGGCGCTGCAATGTCGCTCGATTTGCATCGTGGGTCCCATGGGATAGACTGACTCGAGTACAAAAAACGAGAGCCACAAGAGGTATGTGGCCAACTGCGCAAGGCGCGGCGGCGATGACGACGAAAACAGGAGGCAAATGTCGGTGATGACGTAGTTCATCCAGCACGCCTCGCCCGTGAGGACAAATTTGTCAAAAATCGAGCGCTGGACGATCGCAAACGACGTCGACCCGTTGGACGACGTCGAGAGTGCGATCGGCGATGTGCTGAGAAGGAGCGTCGCCGCAAAACCGCGCAAGAGCAAAATCGGTCGCCCAACCCACACGGAGCCAACGAGCCGGTTGAAATACAAGAGGTTGGCCGCGACGAGCCGACCGCGCAGCGAGAGGCCATAGAGCACCGAGACGAAGCCGACCACGGTGAGCACGGCCGACATGTAGTTGACCAAGTAGAACAAGATTTCGTTGGCGTTGCTCAGGTAGCGCGTGCCGACGCCCGTCGAGTAGCTCACGGGTGTGTACGCTGCCGAGATCAACACCATCGTAGCAGCGTCGCCTTGAAACGACACGACCTCGCGCTTGCCTTCGACCCAGTCGCAGAGCATGAGCCAGCCGTAGAAAGACCACGCGTCGTCAGCGAGCAGCGGGTGCAGAAGCAGTTGATAGTCGCTGCTGTTGGTCAACGGGGTGGCAAACTGCATGAGCGTTACGTTGAGGGCGACGATGGTCTCTGTGATATCGGTGAGCTCACGCATCATATCTGGGGGTGGTGACGAAGCAAGCAGCGGTTCGAGCGGTTGCAACGTCGACGCACAGCGGTTGTCGCTTTGGAGTGCGCAGATAGCGCGCACGTTCCAGGATGCTGCCTTCATGGCGGCCCTGGCAAAGAGGAGAGAGAAGCGACTCGCGGGGACGCGAAGCGGCGCCTGCGTGACGCAGCCGTCGTCGGTGCTAAAGCTCTCTTGCACAAAGGGCAGTGGACCACCGCCCAAGCATAAAATGTTGCCGCCATAAAACTCGTATGCATCGCTTCGCCACGGTGGCGGGAACGGCGCCAAGGTCACCGTGGGAAGTGCTCGAAACGCTTCGCCTGGCACGGCCGTCATCATGTAGGCTTGAATTCTACGGTAGTACGTTCTAAGCACGGAAGGCACTGGTACGAGCAGCGCATCGATCGAGAGAAAGGGCCCGAGGTACACGCGGGCGAGCGCCGTCGGGCCAACGTAGCCGGTGCCGTCGGCATTGTTCATGTACCCGCCGTAGACTTCAAACGTGTCGACAAGTCCAAAATAGTTAGTCGCACCCCGCACGAGGCTTTGGTTGGTCAGCTGCATGATCCACCAGTCGTTTCCAAGCAGAAAGTACAAATTGCTCGAGGTCCAAGGACCACTGGCGTAAGCGACGTTCTTGGCCGTGTACGTCTCGTCGATCCCAAGGGCATTTCGAATGATGAGCGTCTCGGCAATGCCCGTGATACCCGAGTTTTGCCACACGTAGACAAACTCGGTCAAAGGCACTTGGCGCCAGTAGGCGACTTCTTGTTCCACCGACGTTGTTGGGAGTGCGGTCGACACGGCGTCGAGCCAGCTTGGGCCGCTTGGTGACGCCAGAATCGCCGTCAGGATTGCGACGTAAAACTCATTGCCGGGGGTGCCAAACTTGCGCAGAAAGGCCGGCATGTTGGTGTTGCGGAGGTAGGCTTCGTAATAGACGGCAGCATTCGCGACATAGCGTTGCGCACAGCGGTCTTGCCGTCGGATCGTATGCGCAAGCTCCCATTGTTTGTCAAAGTCGACCCAGCACAGCTGCGCGTTCGGGTTCTTGACCGCACTGATCGACATGTTGCGCACATTGGGCACAGCGTACTCGATGCTGGTAAACGCGGTGAGGGCGAGCGACCGCGCGTACGTGGTGTAGACGAGCGTCGACGAGATGGGCGACGTGTACGCCTTGTCCATGCTCAAGGCGAGGAGGTCGATGTTGCCTGTTTCCGTTGTCGCCAAGACGGCGTTGGAGACGTCGATGAGGTAGGCTTCGTACCCACTGAGGTTGTAGTGCGCCCAAAAGAGGTCGTTTGAGAAACTCGGGTTGATTTGCTGCAGAAACCACACGCCGCAAAAGAGCGAGAGCAGAATGTAGCTGTAGCCTAAGAGCACTTCGATACAGGCGCGCTGCCAGAAGCGTCTTGGCGGCGACGGCGACGGCGCGAAAGGCCCGACGGCGTTCGTCGTTGGCAGCACCGACGGCATGGGGTGAAACCGGTTGTACTTGAAACCTGCGCCGTTTGAATTTTGAAACCAAAAAAGGACGTTTGAATACCAGCTGAAGAGTCGAATGCATGTGAGGTGGGGTGTATCGCAAAGATCGATTGAGCTCGTTTTACAAGGGACAACTAGAATATGTTGATCCACGAAGCGCTACCGTGAAGATAAACACGTTGCGCTCTCGCCACCGGCGCGTCGAAGTGAGGCGTCGAAGCGAAGAGGGGTGTCCCAAGAGGTCGCCACCGCTGCACGCTCGCCAGGTTCAGGTTCACGTCCATACACAAAGCATGCAACATGAATAGTGACGTGGCTTGCTCCCATGCCTCTGTGTTGGCAGCCGGTTGGCGCAGGCAAAACGAGCCGTGGGAGGAGCAGGTGGCAGGTAGTTGTGGTATTTGTGGCGTTGCGCCATATTTAAAGGCACAAAAATGGCGTTTTTGGATTTTTTCGAAGCCCGAGGCACGCCCTCGGATTGGTCCAAAATGATCTTCGTCGTTCGAAATTTCAACCACGTGATTTCGCGGCCTGTCGGTCTCAGTCGCCGCGTCTCGGGACTCGGGACGCTTGCATGGCGTCCCTCTCTGAGCGACCCACGGATCTTCCATTCCGAGGTGCTGCCGCCAGCATGTTCCCAGCTCGTATCGCCCGTTGTCTTTGGTTGGAGCAAACTCGAAACTCAACAAGTAGCTACACATTGCAGCTGCGCTGCCTTGCCTCGAGCTCGCAGAATTTTAGCTCGCAGGATTCTTCAGTCGCGCACGATGCTACTGTGGGTCCAACTGCTCGTCGGGCTCTACGTGGCGCTGGCCATTGTAGCGTCCGTGGTGAGCGTGGGCCAGCTCTACCGTCGTCAGCGCCCAGACGCCATCTTTCAGTTCCGGTCGACGCTGGCGTATGCGTGCCAGCTCCTTCTCCGCGCCTTTGCGGCCGCTCGCTTCATCCTCGTCGTCGTCGCACAACCGCTTCTCTACGAGTACGCCACTTGGAGCTTCGGTCTCCAAGGCATCTACTTTGTCAGCGCGACGATCTATCAAGTCGCGCACCATTGGTCGCGGTACGAGCCCGTGCTCTTCCACCGCGACAGCTACGTGCTCAATACGCTTCTCGACATGAGCTGCGCGAGCGTCCTCCCGGCCTTGCTCGCATTTGCCACGTCAACCAGCGTCTTGGATGGACAGAATCTGGCGTTGCATGGCGCGTCCTTTCTCGTGTACCTGCTCGAGTTTGTCGGCAACCATTTTGTGGTCCAGCGCCAAAGCCTCGGGCTCACGCTACTGCTGCCGACTGCCTACGTCATCCTTCTCTGTGTGCACCAAGAGTCGACGCCGTCGACATGGCTCGATTTGTCGTCGCCTGAGGCCGCGGCGGGGTATGCCTGCCTCTTTCTGAGTCATGTGGTCGCCTTTGGCCTCTTCTACATGCTCTCGCTGCTCAAAGAAAGGTATCTGCATGGCCAATGCCCCATCGTGGTCAACCAAGGCCCACCGAAAGCGAGAAAGCTCAGTTTTGTTTGATCCCAAATGCAATAGTGAAAGTCGTGAAATTTTGTCGATTTTCCCTCTTTCAATAGTCGTCATCGATCGCTACGAGTGCACGTACCATCGAGAAATATCCCTGGACATTGGCAGTGGTGCCCAACCTCACCCATACCACCATAAGAAGCTTCTTATTGCTTTAAGGCGACGCGTCGATGGGGGTGCGGTTGTGAAAAGAGTCGAGCTTCGAGGCTGCGTTTCTGCAGACAATGAAGAGATGTTGTAGAGACGTGTTGACCAAGGTTTCGACGAGCCTTAAAAGCCAATACTTGGTGCTTGCAACTACACTTCTACGCAGCACGATATGTCGATGGTGACATCGCAGTCTTCATTTGGTCGGCACTGCAGCATGTGGACCCAAGGAGCTATCTTTGCGCTTATGCTCTTGATCACGACGAGTGTGACGTCGCTTGTAGCCATCTACCTCGTCGCTGCGTCACCGCCGCCGCTTCGGCCAAGCGTGCCGTACGCATCGCGCGCCACGTATGTGGCCCATGTTGCCTTTCGCGCCAGCGTATTGCTATTGTACGTGGTCATCTTGGTCGTCGAGGCGCTGGGCCTTGGCGTCACGATGCTCTCGTACTACACGGTCTGGACCTTTGCTCTACAGGGTGTCTACCTTGTTTGGGCGATTGTGCACCAGCTTCAACGACAGCGTCCGAGCTCGCGCCAAAGCATGTACCTCCACTCGCTCTTTGATAATTGCTTGGCCATGTCGGTTCTCGTCCTTGTCGTCTACTGGAGCCTTCTCTACATTCCCAAGATGCTCTGGTACAGCTACATTCAGCACGGCGGCAACACTGTTCTCTTCGGTATTGAGCTTGCGTCGACGCGCCGCGAGCTTCAAACGCACTCGATTGCATTTGTGCTTGTCTTTCCTACGCTCTACGCGTGCTTTGCGTGGATCAGCGTCGACTCGTGGCTGTATCGCAAGTGGCCATACACGTTTATGGACTTGGACGCACCGAGCGCACCGCTGTGGTACGCTGGCATCATGGGCGGCCACGTCGTCATCTTTGGCCCCGTCTGGGGTCTCTCGCGTCTCAAGCGGCTTGCGCCTACTGCCCCACACAGTCGTATCAAGACTAGCAATGAGGTCTAACGATAAGGACTCGATAACGTTAAGGACAGAGTTCAAGTTGTGTTCGTTGGCAACATTAAGCGGTCGGCGCGCGATTCCTTGACAACAAGCACCTAGCCCTAGGATGTAGCCAATCAATGTGCCAACGTGGCAAATTCAGCAGTGGACAGTGGTATCACACCACTGGCATCCCGCGACCGCACGCAGTTCTCAATCCCACGGCGCTGCTGCCAAGGAGCACGTACAAGCTAGCCTCATGGGCGAGTTAACTGAGCGAGATCACTCGGCGTGCTACGCTGGAATGGCGAGTTCTGAAGTCAATGCAATGCCAAAGCTTCCGAGATCTGCGATCTTAGATGAACCCACGTCAGAGATGGCGACAGCGATTCGATTTTGAGTTTCGACGTTTTCTGGCCAGAGCCAAGCTACTCGTCAACAACCTTGGAGCTTCCTCGCTCGCCACATTTGAATTTGCACCGACCGATCAATGCTCTGGGTTCAGGTCGTCATCGGCGTCATCTTGGCCCTCGCGCTTCTCGCTTCGTTGCGGTCGATCCATCACCTGCGCCACCGCCCCCACCGCATCATGAGCTACAAGTACCCTGCGCCGTGGGCGTACCATGTGCATTTGGCCTTCCGCGTCGCCATGGTCGGCCTCTACATCGCAGTGCTCGTCGTCGAGACCGGGTACCTCGGGACAAAGACGATCTCGTACTACACGGTCTGGAACTTTATCCTCCAAGGTCTCTACTATCTCTGGGCCATCAAGTACCAGCTTGGGACGTTCGGGTCGCGCAACGGACCGACCACAATTTCACGCGAGGGCGCGGCGCTCAACGGCCTCTTTGACATTTGCTTTGCGAATTCGCTTTTGGTGATTGTCGTCTACTGGGGTCTCCTCTACAACCCCAACATGCGCTGGTACAGCTACAT